ACACACACACACACACATAACACACACACACACAGACAGACACACACACATAACACACACACACAGACACACACACATAACACACACACACAGACACACACAGACACACACACACAGTACTGTGAGTACACTACACTGAGTGCAGTAGGGTCCAAAAGTATAAAAAGTGTCTTGTTTAACGGTACAAGTGTCTAAACATTCTTTAATCAAGATACATTTACTCAAGAAGCAAAATGATGAGGATAATAAGTGTTGTTTTCTGTAAACTTAATCAAAATGAAGTGAGTTTATGATTAAAACAAGAACAAGAATCTGCCAATGCGGTCAGAAAAATCTGATGAATTCAAAGGGAAAACAAATGGACTTTTCTGATTTTATTGGCAGATATCTGGTCTAGTCTCAAGCATAATATTTTAGTATAATTTCTATAATATTGTAGTATTTATTCATGTTTTGAATGAGGTTTTATTTTTATATTTTCGTTTTTCAGTATTTAATCATCAAATAAAGCAATTTAATTGCATTTCAGTGTTATTTTAGTATTTATATACTACTGTAGTATTTATTAATATTTTGAATTAGTTTTTATTTTTATATTTTGAGTTTAGTATATAATTTTTTACTGTACTTTTAAATCTAAAAATAATATATTTTATTTATATGATTTAATATCTCGAATTAGGTTTTATTTTATATTTCCAGTTTATCTTTTTATTTCAGTTTAAGGTTTAGGAATTTTGTTGTGTGCTTTTGTCATTCTTATTTGTTTCTTATATTTCTATTTAAATTTAGTTTTAGCAATTTTAGTACAATTTCTCATGAAACAAGCCTTCTTATGTCATTTTGCATCTCGATTATAAGAATGTTTAGACTGGAAAACAGGGCACAAATCCAGATGTTTTGTGTCTGTACTCACCCTGTAGAGGGCAGCGGTGGACCTGCATCTGTCCGTCCTTCAGCTCCTGGAGGAGAAACATGGGAAAAAACACAGAGGAGATGAAGAGAGGAGGTGTTAGTTCAATATACAGCCCAGAAACCACGGGAAAAGCAAACACCTCCATCTGAAGCATTTGCTCCTCAGGGACGCTGAAACGATGACGGCGTCACATACGATTAAATCTAACGAAAAACCCTTCCAACTTCAACCCAAAATAACACAGAAACAATTTTCTTGAGGAGACGAGAGCTGATGTTTCTCTGTTGTGATGATTTGAGACATTATCATGTTCTCATACTGTACTGACAGGAACATTTTGGGGTTTTGTTGCTAAATGAGTTAAATCCAGACATACACTCTTAAAAATAAAGGTGCTTCACGATGCCATAGAAGAACCTTTTTGTCTAAATGGTTCCATAAAGAACCTTCAACATCTGAAGAACCTTTCTGTTTCACAAGGTTCTTCAAAGGTTCTTTGTGGTGAAAGAAGGTTCTTCAGATTATAAAAAGGTAAGAAAGAGATGGTTCTTTAAAGAACCTTTGACTGAATGGTTCTTTGTGGAAACAAAAATGGTTCTTCTATGGCATCGCTTGAAGAACCTTTTGAAGCACCTTTATTTTTAAGAGTGTAGGCCGAGATCTGTCGTAAACACCATCAGGAACAGACTAAATCAACAACTGTACAGATCCCAACCTGCTCACAGTCGACAACTACCTCAAAAACAACCATCAGATCCACTGAAATCCACCAAAAACCAACCCGAAGCCATTGCAGAAATTAGAAATAGGCAATATTCACAATGTAGACGTAGTAGCAGATTTTAAATCACTTCTGCTCACCAAGGATGCATTTATTTGGTTTAAAAAAATAAAGCAAAAACATAAAATATTGTGAAATATTATTACAATAAAAAAAACTGTTTTCTATGTGAATCTCTGTTAAACTGTAATGTATTTCTGTGATGCGCAGCTGAATTTTCAGCATCATTACTCCAGTCTTCAGCGTCACATGATCTTCAGAAATCAGTATAATATGCTGAGAAACATTTCTGATTATTATTAATGTTGAAAACATGCGCTACCCGATATTTTTGTGGAAACGGTGATGCATTTTACTTTTTAGGATTCACAGATGAACAGAAAGTTCAAAAGAGCACCATTTATTTAAAAAATAAATATTTTGTAACATAAATATAAATGTCTTTACTCTCACGTTTGATCAGTTTAATGCATCCTTGATAAAAGTATTACTTTCTTCTTATTAACCCCCAAATTAACATTAGTGTATACATTTTTTAATTTGTAATTTATAAACATAAATCATTTTAAACATCTTTTAATTTGTAATTGAAAATAATTTTACTAGTATAAAAAATACTAATTTGTAATTTATGCACAAATAATTTTTCACTTTTCGACCAATGAGAAGCTCCGAGGGGCGGGTCTAGATGTGTTTTCTAGAATCCAATTAGCTGTATTGATATCAGAAGGATCCGCCTCCCAGAATGCAACACTGCGATGATTTGCAGCAGCAGGTCGGCCATGTTTTCTTTAAAGTCACATGTCTGTGAACTCATTACCACCCAGCGCAACAGATGCATCCCAGATCTGACCGCCCTCTGCATTTTAAAGACTAACACATGGTATTTTACCCATAATGCTGTCACCCACTGAGGCCCTATAAGCAGCAATGTGTGGGCCATATGCTTCATTAAGACAGAGCTGGCTCCAATCCACAGCTGAAGAAAAAACAGGCCCTGGTTTCTTTATTGTGTCAAACTCTCATCAGAGACTGGAAGTGTGCTCAAAGTGCATCTGGAGGCAAATCCACGTGTTCTGACGGCCTAGATCTGTGAAATAAGCATGTGGCGGCTCTAAAATGAGTCTGTGGCGTATCAGTGTGTTTATTTCTGCTTCATGCAGAGCGGCTTCAGATGTTTCATATATGATTGAGTAACTAAAAGAGGCCAAACCAATTGACCAATTCAACTATCAGCTACAATTAGAGTTTTTTAACGTTTTAGTCATTTCATGCATATGGGTGTGTATACACTGCCGTTCAAAAGTTTGGGATCAGTAAAATGTTTTTAAATGGAGTCTCTTATGCTCATCAAGGCTGTATTTATTTGATCAAGAATACAGAAAAAAACAGTAATATTGTGAAATAATATTGCAATTTCTAATATTGGTTTCATATTTTAATATACTTTAAAATATAATTTTTTTTTAATTACTCCAGTCTTTACCGTCACATGATCCTTCAGAAATCATTCTAATATGTTGCATTATTATCAATGTTGGAAAGAGTTTCTGCTGCTTCATATTTTTATTGGAACCTGTGATACATTTTTCAGGATTCTTTGATAAATAAAAAGTTTAAAAAAAAGAACAGCAACAGCATTTATTCAAAAAAGATTTTCTAACAATACCAGTCTTTACTGACACTTTTTATCAATTTATCACATCTTTGCTGAATAAAAGTGTTAATTTCTTTTATTCGTTTGACCAGTAGTCTATAATGTTTCAAAAGATATCTATTTTAAATGCTGTTCTTTTTTAACTTTTTATTCATCAAAGAATCCTGAAAAACGTATCACAGGTTCCAAAAAAATATGAAGCAGCAACATGTGGCACTGAAGACTGGAGTAATGATGCTGAAAATTCAGCTTTGATCAGATATTCACATAGAAACAGCTATTTTACATTGTAATAATATTTCACAATTTACCTTATTTTTTATGAAATAAATGCAGCCTTGGTGAGCACAAGAGACCTCTTTCAAAAACATTTCAAAAATCTCCCTGACTCCAATCTTTTGAGCAGTAGTGTATGCATGTGTTGCCAGTGTATTACAGACAGTAGCTGACGTTCATCTGACTGTGTAGCGAGAGTCTGGCAGTAAGGTCCCTTCCGCTGGTCTCCGTCCAGATCCAGCGGTCAGCTCTGCGCCAAAGCATCCACAGCATCTCACTAATGTTGTAATCTCTGCTTTGGTCTTGGCTTCTAGCTAACCGAAAATACACAGGAGACTCTCACTTCCAAGAATCGGTCAGATCCAGTGTTCATTGAACACACTGGAAAGAAAATTGGTGTAAATGTGTATAACAGCAGGCTGTAACCATTTATGCTGCAATACGATAGAAACGATTCAACAACGATAAAAAACGAGAAGAAAACTATTGCAAAATTGCTCATTTGTAGCATTCAAGCATGCATACAAAATCGTAGAAAGGACAAGTTGAGCAATCAAAGACTATATTAAAAATAAGTTGTGAATGCGTCTCTTTGTGCCATTTGATTGTTTGGGGGCGTGTGCTGATCAACAACACGGTACCAGCATGCCACAGATGGCCGAAGGGCTTTTACAGTCTAGCGCAGAGAGACTTTTCACCCTGAGGTCAGATGTGAGGCACAGTGTTTTCTTGGCAGGACATGAAGTGCTCCAGAGGTCTCAGAAACAACAGCTGTGGAGCGAGTCTGTTCGCTCATCTGCGTCAGAGGCCCGGCCAGACGTTTGAAGTTCCCCTGTAAATCACAGAACATCTCCTGGACTCGTCCAAATCTCCCTTCCGCTGATCTCAGCCACGGCCCGCTGGAATACCGATGACACGATCAACTATTTCAGCTTGTTCATTATCTCTCTTATCTGCTTCCTCTGTAAGTGTAACATGCTGATGTTTATCTGCTGGAGAAAATTAGACTCATTCCATCAAACCCACTGCTGAACGAGCTACAGGCCAAAAGCTTCTGGTGTTCAGATTCATGAGCAATTCACTGAGAATTACTTGTCGTTAGTTATGAGATAAAAACTTAAAATTATGACAAAAAGCTGAGATTATTAAAATACTACGTCAAAATTATGTCAGAATTAAAAGGTTGATATTATGACATAAACTGAACTTACCAAGACACTAAGTGATAAATTTAAAAAAAGTTGAAATGATTTTAAAAGTCATAAATTATGAGATACTAAGTCATAATTATGAGATAAAAGGTAGAAATTATGACATAAAATGCCAAACATACTAAGACACTAATTGATAACTATGAGATAAAAAGTCAAAATTATGTCAAAAATGAGATTTTAAAAATAATGATGATTTAAAAAGTCATAAATATAACAGGTCATAATTATGAGATAAAAAGTAAAAATTATGACATAAAATGTACTAAGACACTAACTGATAACTATGAGATACAAAGTCAAACTTATTGCATACTAAATCATAATTATGAGATAAAAAGGTCAAACTTATGTCATAATTATGAGATAGAAAGTCAATAATATGACAGGTCAAAATTATGAGATACTAAATCAAAGGTAAAAATCTAAATTATGACAAAAAGCTGAGATTAAGATACTAAGTCGCAACTGTGATGATATACAACTCAAAATTATGTTAGAATTATAAGATAAAAAGTTGAAATTATCAGGTCATAATTATAAGATGAGATAAAATCATGATATAAAACATGAACTTACCAAGACACTAACAACTATGAGATACAAAGACAAATTTATGACAAACTAAATAATAATGAGGTAAAAAGTCAAAATTATGATATAAAAAACTGAGATTACTAAAATACTAAGCCATAACTATGAGATCCAAAGACATGAGATAAAAAGTTGAAAGGTAACAACTACAAGATACTAAGACATAATTATGAGATAATTATGACATCAATATTATGCCAAACACTCAAACTTAATAAGACACTAAGTGATAACTATGAGATGCAAAGTCATCATTATGACATACTAAATCACATTTATGACTGTTTACTAAAGGAATTGTACAAATGAGACAAAGGTACAAATGTACTCAAAAAGTACATTTTGTGCTGATCCCAATTTGCATGCCGCAATTGTTTCAGTCAAAATGTCACAATAGTTAGTCAAAAACTACCTGATTTCCAGCTAATGTTTGTTTAACTGTGTACTGTATTCCAGACCAGAATTCAGTGTGCTTTGAAATTATATGGAAGGGAAAATCAAGTGAATCCAGAGTGGTTTATGTTCAC